AAACATAGGGCTTCTCCCCTGTGTGTGTCCTCTGGTGTGCGATGAGACTTGACTTATGACTGAAGTCTCGCCCACACTCCCCGCAAACATAGGGCTTCTCCCCTGTGTGTGTCCTCTGGTGTGCGATGAGACTTGACTTATGACTGAAGTCTCGCCCACACTCCCCGCAAACATAGGGCTTCTCCCCTGTGTGTGTCCTCTGGTGCTTGGTGAGACTAGACCTATCCTTGGAGCCTTGCCCAGAGCCTCTGTACTTGACTTTTACAACTCTTGATACTCCTGCCCCTATGAGTAATTTGCCTGTGGCCTCTGGGTTCACTTTCTGGCCTGTGCTGGGCCCTGCCTCCATCATTCTCTCATGTGCCCTAGAGCTCCCCATTTGTCCTTTGGGAGAGGAGGAAAAGGCCCTTGAAATCCTCCCCAGCCTTATCCTTTTCAGCAAAGGTTTGGACCTTTCCTTGACCTCTTGATATTCAGGTTTGTTACTCCAGCTGTGTGGATCAGAATATTGCTGCTGCCGATTTTGATAGCCTGGGCAGGGATCCTCTGGTTGGACGCGGTCTCTTGCAGATGTTCTCGGGAGGACCTGAGACGGGTGACTGCATTCCACGTGTTGGCTGAGGATTTTCTGACTGGAGAAGGCCAAAGAGCAGGAGCCACATGGATGAATCTTGGGCTTTGGGTCTGCTAAAAGAGGAAGCTTCTGGTCAGGTAGATGGTTTGTCTCCGGTAAGGCCTGAACCACTAATCATCTCAGTGTTGACAGCGCAAGCTCTGTCTCCCAACAAGTGTGCCTTTACAGTCTACTTTTCCATTCCATTTTTACTCACTCTGTCTTCTTCAGAAATCCAGAAAGCCCGTATCAAGGGCCTCTTCTACCTGTGGCCCTGACTAGGGACCTTCAAGTAGCATCAGAGGCAGTGTCACTCCTTATAAGAGGTGGAACTGCAGTGACTTTTGCCCACATAGGAGTATCTGAAAAGTCCTATCACTTTGTGACAGAGGGGCCACAGGTATTCTATCCTGTTGGGAGAGAACACTCTTGATGATAGGTGGAATCGCCCTGAGTGACTTCCTACGAGGGGAAGGAATTTATTAAGTGAGGGGCACTCATCCTGGAGATCTCCAGATGTGGAAGGCAGGGTAGGGTAGTGGTTAGGGCACCTGTGAGGAAAGCTGGATTTGAGGCTCCTCATTCACAGAGACATATTAGTTGAGCAGCCATTGTGTCTGAATCTCTGTGAGGAAGTGGGATTCAGATTGGACAAGACCGAGTGGTCCAGGTCCCACTGACTAACGGACTCTGGCTCCTGATGCCCCAATTAGGTCATGAATTGCTTCTCTCTCAGTTTTCCATAAAGTGGAAAATGAAATTACGTCCTTCCTCAGAAAGCCTCACGAGTATTCACACCTCATTGATTTCAGTCAGGGTTAGTCCGTTTAAAATGCAGTAGGAAGTCCTGTTTAAAAATACACCCCAGCTCCTGCCCTTCTTCAGCCAGTCCGCTCTCCCCTCTCACCTGGTGATGAACTGACCTCTGAGCGGATTCCCCACTGCTATCTCTTTCCAAAAAATGAGCCAAAGCATCATCTTAGAGCAGAGAACATGCCCCCTGCAGCTGAAAACCGCACGGTTGTTTCACGTCACCCAGGGGGACCCCCATGTCTATGCGTGGAGCACAGGCCCTGAGGCCTCCGTGTTCTGTCCAGCCTGCTTCCTCTCCCTCTGTGCTTCCTTCTTTGACCACCTGCATGGCCTCTGTTTCCTGCCCTGGTGCTGCGGCACTGGCCGTTCCCCTGCCTGGAACACTTTGCCCACAAATGCTGTCTCTGGAGAGCGCCACACCCCACCCCTCCGCTCACAGTGATCCAAGGCACTTTCTCTGGGCTACTTTTCCTCAAAGCACTAACTGCTGTCTGGTATGAGGCACGTGCTGCTCTAGGGCAGTGATTCTGACCGTCCTGTTCAATCTCTATTTCCAGTTCGTGGAGCCCTGTCTGGCACAGTGTATGAACGCATGTGACAACGAACCGAAATGGTGACTGAATGCAAATCAACGTGTACACATATCATCTAGAAATATGGAGGAGATGAAGAAGAAATGGCTAAAGGTGAGAGAGCTGGTAGGTGCTCGAAAATGTGTTTTTTTCCTCTAAGCCTTTCAGCCCTATATGACGTTATATATTTTTTGCATGAGGGATTAAAAAAACTAGAAGAAAAAAATTTTAATATAAAAAGTTTCCCTAAGAGTCAAAGGCTTATGGATCAATGTCTGAAGCATCTTAATTGAAACTTTGCTGACTCCAGACTGGAGTTTACCCTGATGGAGAGCCGGACCATGAAAGCTCCCCAGGAGTGCTTCTTGCTTTGCGTTGGAAGAGCAGTGGCACCCACCTCTGCCCGCCGCCACGAGCTGGCTCTTCCACCCGCTGCCCCGCGGGATGCCGAGCTCCTGGCTGTACTCGTCCCCGTACCAGACCAGCAGTTCACAGCCCGGCCTGACCACCCTGCAGGTTCGGTAGAAGATCTGCCTGTGATACTGGAAGGCCACCAGGTTCTGCTCTTCCTCATCCCGGGCACAGTTCACATACCTGGGGTTGGGGCAGAGAAAGGGACAGAAAGTGCAGGCGATGGGTTCCCTCCACCTGTCAGACCCGAGCCAGCTTCTTGCCGTCGCGGCCTGGTGCTACCCCAGCTGCCGCCGCTGCTGCGCGGGAACCTGCTGCTCACGCCTTCGAGCTTTTCCTGTGGATCCCTATCTCCAGATGCTGTTGCCCATCCAGGCCAGATTGCTTTTCTCTCCTTACCTACTTATCTGTTTTCCAAAGCCCGATTCCAGACCTGTCTCCACCTGGATTGGCCGTAAAACTGGTGACCTCTAAACTCTCAATGAAGTTCTGTTTTTATTCCACAGAACTTGGTGCTTCTAGTTTAGCACACATCCCTCAGCACTCAGCCCCAGCCTATGTTCTCTCGAGAGGCCTGTCTCCAGTCTCCCCACGTGCATCCAGGGCCCCCCATTCACTTGCCTCCCCCAGGTTCCTGTAGAAACTTGGAGAGCTCTCTGACTTAGCTCGAAACACAGAACAATAGTAGTTTATTCATTTTCTGCCTCCCCTGATGAAAGGAGGGGACCTTAGAGAAAGGGGCTGCTCACAACCATCCTGCAGTCTGTTTGTCTCCTGGCTTCAGAACCCAGTTCTCACTGGAAGCAAGGCTGGGAAGGTGGCTGCCCTCACAGACTAAAGGTACCTCCCGTTAGGTTATGGTGGTGCTGTGCACTTCTTGAAAAATAGGAAAATTATGGTTAAATGTTCCTAAAATCAATTGCTTAATGTCTGTCTGCAGTGTGTCCTCCGTAAGGACATGGGTGATGTGATCTGTTTAAGTAATGGACTCCATTTTCTAAACTGGAGCATAATAGCAAGTGCTTGATAAGTGTTAATTAGGTAAATAAGTGTCCCTGGTGAATCTAGACTCCTCAAGTTGTTTTCAAGTACCCCAGTTTTCTTGAGCACAGAGACGTATTTTGAGGACACATACTATATTTTTATTTCCTTTTTTCTGACGTCTCTTGAAATGAAAGAGCATTGTATGGAGAAAAAAGAGGGACAGAAGATGTAAAAACCATTGAGGGGGGCAGTCTGAGAAGGAAAGGGACATGGGCTTGAGAGAGATGAGTGTCCTCTCTGGAACCTGGAAACCTACTGGGCTTACCTCATCCAGTTGGCCCAGGACGTGTCCTTTCCATCCACATACTCGTAGCAGTTTCTCCCTTTGGTGATCTGAGTGTCAGAAAAAGAAGTTAAAGCCTTTTTTCTTTCTTTCTTTTTTTTTTTTGGTGGGAGGTGATAGAAGAATTATTTCACTCTGCTGTCATCAATGCTCTTCAGCCTACATGGATGCAACTGCCAATCGTGACCACGCAATAAGCTCCTTAATCACCATCCTCATGTCTGAGTCTATTTGTCCGCTCAGGCCAAGGGCCCCGCACGGGAGGAGCCGCTTCTTTGTGCCTGTACCACCGTGCTCCCACCTGGCCTCTGATCTTTAAGTAGAAGTTCCGTGTTCATGCAAAGTGCACTCAGTACACAGAGCTAACCGTGTTGTCCCCATCCACGTCCTAGCATGTTGAACGTGAGGCCCCCCCGCCCCATCCACAGAAGGGATGTGGAGGCCAGAGGACAGGGGAAGAGGTGGGTGTTTCTCACCAGCCAGGAGTATCCACTGTTGGCGGCCTCTTCATCTTCTGTGATCTGGCCCTCATAGGGGCCAAAGTGCAGACCCAACGGCAGATCGGATGCCTCGTTCCATACTCCAAGCCCAGCCTCAGGGATGCCTGATGGTCTGATACTTAATCCAGGGGGCAGAGTGAGGGCTGAGCGGTTGGGATGCCCCTTCTCCACTGCACTGTCCTTTACAAATGAAGGGGCCCCGTGAGCAGCACAGCTGTCAATGAAGAAGTTCTGACACTTCTCACAATCTGGAGGCGAGAGCGACAGGGATTAGGGAAGATACAGTGCGTGTTCCTGGTTGTAAAGACCTTCAGAAAGAACCAGGGCGCTCATGTCATTTGGCCTCAATCCTGTACCCCAAGTCAGTAGACAAAGGGGATGATTTGGGGACTAAATGCTAAGGTGAGATTATTGTAGCAAGACATAACAGCCTTCTCTGTAATGGGCCAGTGGGGTCACTCACAGAGGTAGTCGTCATCCTGGGGCTCGCTGACCTCTTGGTACACGTGGCCCTTTCTTTCTCGTAGGCTATACATCTTCACTTCAATCTGCTTTGCTCTGCGTTCTAAGTTGGAGAAGAGTAGGTAAGCAAGGTTGGTGGGGTCTGGAGTGTTGGTCCCTGTTTTATCAGAAAATGTGAAATCCCCTCCCATCAAATCATCGCCTGTCCTTCTGTATACTTTGTTTTTCCCCCGTTTAGCTACTGGTTCAGACAGACCGAGGCTCCACACTGACTACAGACGCCCAGTTCAATGTTAGCTTCCTGTTCTTCCCATTATTAGGTTTAACTTCCCAACCTTTCTACGTAGAAAATGGTTCATTGACACATTTACTCATTCAGAAAATATTGGTTAAGGCACATTACATGTTAGGCATTGAGCAGAGGCCTTAACTAAGAAAGCATGGTCACTGTTATCACAGATGGATTTTTGAACGTGTATGTGTCCGTACTTTTATAATTAATTTAATGTTTTCAAACACTATACGAGTTATGTATCCTTACGTTCACTTTAGAGATTAGCAATCAGGACCTCAGAAGACATGTAAGATTTTCCCAAGGCCCCAGTGCTAACTTCAGGTCTCAGATCAGTCCAGCCTAAACCCACGCCTACCCCAAGTCCACCCCACACACCTAGGCCATACTAATCAGCGTTTCTAGAAGAATTAGAGGGACTAAAGCCCCCACGTTATTTTCTCTCACCCAGCTTTTGTCTAGTGTGCCATGCAGAGGTGCTTGCTGCTCCGGGAGGGGGCGCTGGGCTCTGGGCCTGCGCAGGGCCACTTGCCTTCTGCAGTTGCGCTGCTCCTGGCAATTTCTTCAAACTAGATTCATTACTTAATGGCACCGGGGGCACTGCCTTCAACGGGAGAGTCACATAGTGAAAGACAACATGCATTTCTTTAGTTCTTTAGGGCTTATGAAGTGTTTTCACATGCATGACTTTAGTTAATACTCCAACAACCCTTGGAAATACCCCGGGCGGGTGGAGTCTGAACACTAGAGCGTAAATAAAGGGCCTAAGTGGGTAGTGAATCAAGACTAGAACCCATATCTTAAGGTTCCTTCCCTTCAACTTTCTCTCAAATTTCTCCATAAAAGTGAGAGCGAGTCTAATTGGGAAGAATCAACAAAGTCTGGGAAAGAAGCGGGGGGTAAGGGCTTATAGAAAAAAAGAGGGGGTCTTTTATTAAATTAGTGGACCTCTGATGGACGAGGAAATGTGGAAAAGTACAGAGGGGACAAAACACTTCTGGAAAATGAGGTGACAGAGCAGTGAGATTGGGAAGAGAACAAAGAAATGGTATGGCAGAAACTTATCTAGACAATAAAGAAAATGATGCTGAACGTTGCAGGTTGCCATATCCTAGAGAGAATGTTTGGAATCAGAGTAGCTGGTTCCCATCGATTCTGCTTGAATAAGGCTGTACGACTAGCTAGTTCTCCTCAGTTTCCTGAACCATAAATTGGCATACATGCTAATTCTTAACGTCACAGTGGACATGCAATTTAATAACGTTCACCAAATTGTTTTGTGAGCTACTGATATGTAGTACAGTGTGAACGTGAGAGTCCAGCCCTGCTATCAATTCACCCCCTCAACTGTCTCCCTATTTGAAATCTAGCTCACAGATACTATCTTCAGCACTCCTTGACCCTCTTACTTCTAGGTGAATGTTTAAATGTGGAGTCACGCATTCAGAAAACCTCCAGGGGGCCCTCAGGGGCCTTGAGCTGGGCCTGGGACTTCTGAGAAGAAACGGGTATGGAGCAGGCTCTCAAAGCTTGCAACGCAGGGGCAGGCTAAGCAAATGATTCCAAACATGACAGTTGCCTAATTAGAGCCCGGAGGAAGGAGCTGTTACTTTCTCCTGCAAGAATGAGCATTTGAAATCAGTTCCAGAGGGATGAGTTTCTGTTGAAACGCGGGTAACCTATATGAAGTCCTAAAGTTATTTTCTTATTTGTCGTTTTCAGTGATCAAACTTGAAGCTAGTCAGGGCTGGGAGATGCTTCCTCTTATTAGAGTAGCAGGCTCTGAGGTTGGGGGTCCATCTCCTTCTTCGTCTCGGACAATCCACTCTACAAATTGCCTACAGATCTGTAAGCTTCCCTTAGTCAGATGGTCTTAGCATGTCACTCACTTTGGCGTAGCAGAAAACAACTGAGGTTGAAATCACCCGTCATGTGAATGATATAAAGATGTATGTATGAATAAGACAGTGTAAACTTTATAAAACTATGGAAGTTCTACTCAGCTTGTAAGTGTTTTAGAGAAGGAGCTTTGGATGAGATTGCCCTACCAGTGATACTGTGATCTCAGGCATATACTCAAACATTTCTTTACCTCAGTTTCTTGATCTATTCAATATAAATGGTGATAGTTACACTACCTATAGGTGCTACAGGATTGTTTTAAGGTCTAAAGTGAGTTTATTCATGTAAAATAGAGCCTGAAGTATTATGAAAATAACGTGACAATAGAACAACCTACTACTGTTGCTATTCTTATTAACGATAAAAATGATGATGATATCAGACATTGTGCTAAAGAATCATGAAAGGAAGCAGCAGTTTCTAGGATACTCTGTGTATTCTCCTATTCTTACCTGTGATTGGATCCATGAGGAAGGTTTTCTTGTCAACAGGATTTGGGAAATACTTACCTTCTGGTGTTTACTGTGCTCCACTCTGAAGGCCACCCAAGAAGGTTTAACTAAAAGATGATGAGAAATCAGTGTTTTGGTTGGTAAATGTTTCCAGACTCTGGGCATCTGAATTAAGGACACAGAATTCTGAACCAGAGAGTGACAAGTGCAAGGATTACCAAAGGGGGAATGGAAAATGATTTCTGTATCATCAATGCCTATGCTTCCACTGGGAGCATCACAGTTTCCTTAAAATTAAAAAAAAAATAGACATAAACCTCATCTGTGCTTCATCCTATGTTCATAAAGTATCTAATACATTTACTTCATGACAAAAATACTCAACAAAGTAGGAATAGAAGGAAGTTACCTCAATATAATAAAGGTCATATATGAAGGGTCCACCTCTAACATCATACTGATTGGTGGAAAAAGTGATCTCTTCTAAGATCAAGAAAAAAAGGAAAGGATGCCCACTCTCACCACTTCTATTCAACATAGTACTAGAAGTCCTAGCCAGGGAATTAGATAAGAAAAGGAATCAAAAGGCTTGCAGTTTGGAAAGAAAGAAGTAAAATTAGGTTTGTTCACAGATGACATGATTTTATGTGTAGAAAATCTCTAATATTCCACAGAAAACACTGTTAGAACTAAAAAAAGAATTTAGTAAAGTTGCAGGATACAAAATCAACACTCAAAAATCTTCCTATGCACTCGGGACTTCCCTGGTGGCGCAGTGGTTAAGAATCCACCTGCCAATGCAAGGGACACGGGCTCGAGCCCTGGTCCAGGAAGATCCCACATGCCGCGGAGCAACTAAGCTCGTGTGCCACAACTACTGAGCCCGCATGCTGAAACTACCAAAGCCCGCGCGCCTAGAGCCCGTGTTCCACAACAAGAGAAGCCACTGCAACGAGGAGCCCACGCACTGCAAAGAAGAGAGCCCCCTCTCGCCGCAATTAGAGAAACCCCGCACGCAGCAACGAAGACCCAACGCAGCCAAAAAAAAAAAGAGAGAGAGAAAACTATTGAGAATTATACTGGAAAACCTATACATCCACCTCCATTCAGTCTTATGTCACCATTCTGCCACAACCACTGCGGGTCTTTTAATTTCTATTTCAAAATTCGAAAACAAACAAAAAACTAACCAAGACACAATGAAGCCACCTGCCAGCCCTTACTCCTTTGGTGATGAATTTGGTACTTCTTATTCACATTCAAATTTTTATACATTTACGGCCTTTTAATGTACCTATAAACAATATATATATATATATATTTTCCAACAAAAGGTCTCATATTTATTACTGAGCCAAAGCACTAATGCAGAAACACTGACACAAGGAGAAAAATCATTTTTTCCCAATAAAACAAATGGATGCATTTGTCCAGATAGTAGTGATGCTTTCAGAGTGATATGGTAAGATGCAAGTGACCTTCCACAGCATAAATACATGTGCCACCTCATGGGTGGCTCCCTATAGACCCAGCTTGGTTCTTCTCTAGTGTCTTCTCTTGGAGCTGTACCTGGTTTTATTACCAGTTTTCATTTGAGTCCACTGGGGAATGGGACGATTCTCCTTTGGTTTCTGGCCCAGGAATCGCTCGATCGTGAAAGTCTTGTGAGAAGACATGGTGAGGAGCAGAGTCAACTGCACGTCGGATGGCAGAGAAGGGGAGGCTAATTATTTTACATATTTAAAAACTTTATATGGATAGTCTCTTACTGTATAATATTCTGTTTTGCATCTTGCTTGTTGGGTGAAAAATTATGGGTTTTTTTTTTTTTTTTTTGCTAATGCCTGAGACGCAGCTGAGACCCAAACCCAGGTTGTTTTCAGGAAGACACCTCTAAATCTTCCTGGCCCCTCACCTTGCTGCCTTGGAGTCCATTCTTCATCAGAATCCTCAGGGTCACCCACCTGGGCTTTGATGGCCTGCCTGCGGTGACACATGAAAGCTGGCCGAGGGGCTCTGAGACCTGGAAAGGAGCAAAATCTTGGTTCCAAAAGGGAAGAGCTGGAAGGAGGAACAAAGCCCAGAGGCGATGGAAAGTGCCACAGAGTCAGTGTGACTTGGTAGGATGGGCTGGGAGAGTCTGGAACCAGGCAAGGGGTGAGCTCTGCGCTGCCAGGGCCAGGCCCACACTGAATACAGAAGAACACACATTTCCTGCAGGTTGGTCTCCACACGGAAGGCAACTGTGAGCAGATGAAGCCATCTCAGAGAGAGCCAAGCTAACACTGAGACCGAAGACCTGGTTCATGCTTCCCAGCTCCCAGGCACCCAGCATTTCCTGTTACCTATAGTAATCAGTGCTTCATAGTTCTTTTTCACATTCCTATATCGGATTTTTTCCCATTCTCCCATCTCTGTCCATTCTTCCTTGGAGAAGTATATGGAAATGTCTTTGAAAGCATCTTTGGCCTAGAGAGAATAATCGATTTCATCAGTGACTTACTAATCTAAGTCAGAACTTAGAGCTGGGCCCTCTCCTCCACCTTGTGCAGGGTGTAGCCTGAGGCCGCTGGGTGGTCTCTGTGAGACAAGGATGAAGGTTTTCCTTCCTGACCGTGTCCTGCTTAACTGAGCAAACACTGAGCATTTTCCTAACTCTCCCTGGACACACAGCAGTTGACGATGCTATAGTGTCCTGTCCCCCCCACCCCGCCCCGCCCCACCATCTTAGACAGGACCGGGCACCCCCATCCTGTGTACCTTCACAGAGAAGGTCACCCAGTGGTGCAGGCCAGGAGTCTGTGGCCCTCCAGGGACCAGCTCCTTGTCCCTCCTGTAGAGCCGGCCTAGAGCCAGGCTCTGCCTCCTCCACCGCTCACCGTGGGCTTCCACGCTGTTCTCCCAGCATCTCCCTCAGTGCTGTCCTCCGGCCACCTGTCGGTGCTCATGGGCCTGGGACCGCCTCAAGGCCAAGGTGCCTGTGGAAGGAGAAGGTGCTGAGGTAGCCCAGGCCCCTGCCCAGAGCTAGGTCTGTGTTCCTCGGCTGGGGTGTCCCGAGCAGGAAGGTGTGAGGACCCCGGCAAGGATTAGAGGATGTGGAGGGTATTGATGGGGTGGACGGATCGTCGCCAGCCACGACAGTCCAGCCTAACGTGAACTAGATTCGGCTTCTTTGGCCCCCCTGCAACTCGGGCCCTCTGAGGAAAGGCACTGGGGGGGCTGTGTCTGTGGGTGCCTGAGGGAGTCCTGAGGAGACCTGGAAGCCCCGGACTGCTGGGCTGGGGTCAGGTTGACAACCAGGGCTCTCTTCCAGCGAGGGACAGGGACTATTTCTCCAAGAAGGGCTTTGGGGATCTCCACCTGGGGACTCCGGAAAAATCTGAGCAAAACGTGCGTTCTATGTCTAAGGGAGAGATCGCTCAGCCTGAGGAGATTTGGGTCACTCTGGCTAAGGGAATTGGGGTTCCTCAGACCCGAGGGGATTCAGGGTCCCTTAGGCTGATGGTATCTGGCGTCTTTTGGCTGAAGGGATGTAGAAGGCGCAGGTTGAGAGAACTTGGGACCTTTGAGCCTGAGGAAATCCGGGGTCTCTCCTTAAGGGGCTTTAGGTTCTCCCACATTGAGGGCACCTGGGGTCTTTGAGGATGAAGGGGTTAAGAGTTCCCGGGCTGAGGGTAGTCAGTGCCTCTGAGGGTAGGGAAATTTGGCCTCTCTGCGGGTGCTATTTTTAGGGCGCCTAACCTCTAGGGGTTACTCCAGGTATTTGGGGGGGTCTAAGCATCAGGGGATTTGGTGTTTCTGTGGGTGAAGGGACTTTGGGTCCCTGAAGCTGAGGAGATGTGAGGTCCCTCAGGTTAGGACCCGGGGTCCCTCCAAGCTGACGGGATTTGGAGCCCCTCAGGGTGAGGGGATCTGGGGCCTCCCAGCCTGGAATTTGAAGGCCTCGGGCTGAGGGTTTATAAGGGTTTCGCAGTTCCCGTCAGTCTCCCCGCTGTCCCCTCGCAGGGCCCACCCCGGCCCGGTGCGCGCTCCGGCTTCTGCAGCTTCGCGAACTCCTGAGGTGAGGCGAAGCGAAGGGCGCGGAGCCGGCTTGTAAAGCCCCGTCAGGTGCAAGCCACCAATCGGTGCTGCGACAGAAGCGGTCCCGCCAATAGGCGGCCGGGACGGTGCGGAGGGCGCAGAAGGTCCCGCCCCACCACTCGGGGATTGGCTGCTCTGGGTCCCGCGCGTGTCTGAAAGGAAGCCTCCAGCGCGCAGGAGCAGCTTCGCGGTTTTCCCTGACTGGTTTTTCCGCCCGCCGTCAGGCAGCCCGTCTTAATCCTGGAGCCTCAGGCGGGCGGTGGGTCTTTAGGGTGGCCGTGGCGTCCAGTGCCCTGAACAAGGGTCTTTGCTCCACCGGACTGTAGTCGTGCTCCCGAACTTTCTCCTAGGCCCACCTGTTCCCTTCCTTGTAAAATCCAGTTTTGGCAAGAACTGTTTGGGATGAGCATTGCTTTATTCAGGGGAAAACTAGGTAATTAACTAAAATCTGATGACACACAAAATAAACAACATACGGTCAAAGATTTAAACGCAACAAATGGAATAATAAGTATATTAGAAAAAACACTGGGAGAATTTTAAATCTCAAAGTAGAAGTGGCACTTAGGAGTAATCTGTATGTTTAAGCAATGTAGGTCTAAAAAGGCTTCAGAAATGAGATATAAATGAAACCAGAAAGCCCTGCAAGTGTTTTCCATTAAAGTGAGGCATCAAATTCGAGGATAATGGATCTGCAGAGGGGGCTTCATAAGGTAAAATGGGGAGAGTGTTTCTGCCCCTTACCTAGCTTTGGTTACAGAAACGTAACATGATTTCCATGTGTTGGAAGCAAGACAGCTGACTGTAGAATTATTGTCAAGGTGGGACCACGAGTGCTGGTTGGGGGTCTGGATGGAGAGATGTTACCAGAAAACTGGGTTTGCCTCTTGGTGGGTGTCGAGCCAAAAGACACAACCTAGCCAAAGATTGGGAGAAGGAGGGATTTATTACTTGCAGCAAGTAAGGAGAACACCAGGGATCTTGTCAAAAGAATGTCTCCCCAAACCCCCAAACTGGGGAAGTTTTAAGCTATGCGTACATGCGTGTTCATGGAGGGCCTTGGGCAGTAGGCAGAGTGCAAGCTTTAGATGATTGAAGTCTTGAGGGTCAGAAGCGGTCACCATCGGCCACCCTTAGGTTACATTTTATCTGGCGTTGATAGATGATGTAGATATAGATATCTATTCTTTTTCAGATTCTTTCCCCTTATAGGTTATTACAAAACATTGAGTGTAGTTCCCTGTGCTATCCAGTAGGTCCTCGTTGATTATCTGTTTTATAAATAGCAGTGTGTATGTGTTAATCCCAAACTCTTAATTTATCCCTCCCCCTGCCTTTCCCCTTTGGTAACAATAAGTTATAAGATTTTATATTCCTCAGAAATGGGGGAGCTGAAAGAGAGGTATCATTTTCAATGGAAAAGCATTCAAAAGAAGATTGAAGCTCCAGCCAAGATTATTAGATGTACAGCCTTGGGAAAAAATCACTTAATTTCTGTAAAGTTGAGCTGACAAATAAGACAATAACCCTCCACTGAACTTGCTTATAATCAAGTGAGGGAAATATCAAATGGAAGTGTTAGAAACATCTTGTTTTACACGAGCCTTATACACTGCTCTACGTTCATTACAGTTTGGCTCACACATCTGTTCACTGAAGTTACAATGTTCTCAAATTCTGTTACTGATCCTCCAGAGTGGGCCCCGATAAGGGTCCCCCTGCCCAGTGTCACTGGAGCCAACAGAACGAGACTGAGTTTGGTTCAGAAGCAAAGGAAAACTTTATATTTTGATCAGAGAATGAACAGGTGACAGCGTGCGTTCCCCCGCGGGCTGTGGGCGGGGCTGCTGTGTAGGGATCCCAGCAGCCTCAGCGGGAGGGAGGGGGCGGAGCTCTCGAGGGCCGGGTTGGCTGGAGCTCAGGCTCTATATCGTGGAGTCTGCACGGGGCCCCGCGAGCTGAGGTGTCGACCCAGCCATTCTGCACTAGGAAATTGGGTCTGAAGTGCCGGGTGTGGGACCTCTGCATGCGGAACCCTAGGAGCACGTGAAATTAGACAAAGCACAGAGGAATAAATGTTAGACTATATTTTATTGCCCAGATTCTATTTTTATCTCCCAGGAATTTTTCATGGGCTTTGCCGGTGACAAACCTCTCCTCTGCCTTTTGTCCCATTCCTCATTCTTGGGGCGCTGTGGGTGCAGACCCCTCTTCTGTAACTACTTTGTGCTGAGTTGGGAGTCCTCATACGCGGGGGGAGGGGCAGAACTTCTCCCCAGCAGCCTCCAGGTGAGGTTGATTGTCCCCAGGCCTCCTGCCTCACTGCTCGTCCGCCTGAGCGCCAGCATTGGAAGTGTTATAGATCCTAATGACCTTTAAGGGTCCAGGAAAGAGATGCGCAGAGACGCTGGGGGGGAGCCGGTTTTACCCCGCCCCACATTTGTTCGGCCGCCTTAGGCTGACGGTTTCTGCCAGCCTAGATGCTCTGACCGGTAGTCTGCGCTTTCTTCAATTAGGCCCCTGAATTAACGTGCAAACAGCACCAGGTGTCAGAGTCCTGCCCGCTCAACTCCCAGACAGTCCAGGGCCGGTGGTGATCCAGGACCATGACGGCCACTGAGTCAACGGCCTTTTGAAGTAGCCAGGAGTCCAGCTGGTCTTATTGGCCGCCGTCACCGCGGTGTCTGTAGGCTTTTCTGTGGTGACAGGGTGATATATGGTTCCCCCGCCAAGCTTATTAGCTCCCCTCTGGGTGCCGTAAGTCCTGCAAGCAGTAGTCTGCTCTTTTGGGGCACACTCTTGTTGTTTTCTGAGAGAAGCTCCAGGTCAAGTGATGGTCACACGAGTCGTCATGGGGGCCCGTTGCCCCCGGTTGTCTCTCTGGAGGTTGGAGTTGGAGGGCCTCCTCACCCGAGGTCAGTGTGCCCACGGAGCGACCCCTGCAACTTCAGGGCATGGTGGGTGGTTAGGATCACCACGTGGGGTCCTTTTCCCTTAGGAGGGAGCTGGATTTGTGGGCTGCTGATTTCCAGGTTTTTAGATACCGCCAGTATCCTGGCTGGATGGGGCGGCGGGCCAAGCCCATGGTGACCGTAGTTTATCCTACCTGGAGGGCATTCTTGCGTTGTTCCATTTCAAGTGGTCCCAGTTTTTGCACTAACACTCCAAGGGCGATTCACATTCTATGGGGATGTAAAGTTCAAAGGGTTTAGCCAAATTAGGGAGTTCCAGGGCGAGTGTCTGAATTGACTGCTCTTTGCATTCTTGAAAGGCCGCTTCTGGATTCTATTCGAAAGGATCATCATCTTTTCCTTTCAGTGTTTCATATAGAGGCCCAGCTATTAGACTGTAGTTAGGGATCCAGGTGCAGCAATCCCCGGCCTCCCCAG